AGTGGGGTGAGGGGGTCAGTGGGGAAAAGAAGGGTCCATCTGCGATACTCTCAACAATAAAGATGAAATTTTTAAAAAGAGAGAAAATGGTGGTGTTGAGTCAAGTAAAACGCTCTCTGGGGAAAGCGCAGCTGCTGTCTTCCCACACGGAGGATGAGGACGCAAGGCTGAGAAGACGGAAGGTGAAGTCTGACTAAATGCAAATCGAAACATCAATCAGTTGGAAACAAAAAGTCAGCCAAGCCCTGGCCCTGCATCCGGAGGAGTCCTCGTCTGTTCTTAACATCACGCCCCATAAAAGAAGTTCAACTCATAGCAGGCATTCGTTAATTTTCAAAGTACAGAAAACACACAATGTTTGGCAAAAAAGAAAATGGCTTGGTAAATCCTCCCCTTTTTTTTATGTGTTTTTATTGAGTTTTAAAGAGAGAGTAATGGAGAGGGAGAGAGAGAGAGAAACATCAGTGATGAGAGAGAATCATGGACCGGCTGCCTCCTGCCCGCCCCACCCTGGGGATGAAGCCCACAACCCGGGCCTGTGCCCTGATGGGGAATCGAACCGTGACCTCTTGGTTCCTGGGTCGATGCTCAGCCGCTGAGCCCCACCAGCCGGGCGATCCCATGTTTTTCTTCAACCAACCTTCCTCCCCCCCCCACCCCCCCACGGAACCTCCGGGCCCAGGAAGACAGGGCCCCTGAAGACACGGGCTCCGAGGACACTGACCCGCTTCTCGTCGTCCTGCTTGTGCTTCCTGGTTTTCTGGAGCAGCTTCAGGCCTTCGATCTGCCTGACGAGCAGCGGTATGGTCGCCTTGAACCGATCCTCCAGGCTCACGGCGTCTAGGATCTAAAGGAGCGAGAGCGAGCCCGTTACTAGAAACACGCGCTCCACGGCCAGGCGGGCAGAGGCGCAGCGTCCACCGTCAGACACCTCCTTCCAGGGGTCACCGCTCGCTCCCTGCGGCCAACACCACCACAGTAACCGTATTAACTCGGTGAGGCCGTCGGGCACGGACACCAGAACCCCAAACAAGACCAAAGAGCATCTTGAGTTTCCATGTAAAAATGAAGCCACGTGTATTGTCCCAAGAGCAAGAACAGAACACACACTGTATGGCCACTCCTTCTGAGAATTATTCTCCGCAAGCCTAGAATGTGTCTACACATTCGGTCTCAACAAATTCGAGGCTCAGAACACTGAAGTTTTACCCACACGAGAGACTAGAAGCACTTTCCGCCACCGTCCCCTGCCGGTGTGGCGGCAACGGACACGCTCCCCACGTCAGGGTAACTAGCACCCTGCTCGCGCCCGAAGCAGGTGCTGGTGCTCCTGCCGCCGCCCGCTCCTGCTGGGGACTGGATCCCTGCTTACACCCAGTCTGTCTGCGTCAGCTGCACTTCCTGTTACAACAGTTGGATTTAAGTATTAAACTGATAAAGAAAGGGGGGTGATTTCATTAAAACTAGGTTAGCCGGACCGGTGTGGCTCAGCAGTTGAGCACCAACCCAGGAGCTGAGAGCTCACTGGTTGGACTCCCGGGCAGGGCACACGCCCAGGGTGTGGGCTCGGTCCCCAGTGGGGTGTGTGCAGGAAGCAGCTGGTCGATGACGTTTCTCTCTCATCGATGTTTCTCTCTCTCTCTCTCCCTCCCCCTTCCTCTCTAAAAATCAATAAAAACATATTTTTTAAAAAATAAATGAAAACTAGTTTAAAGGTTCTGGGAAGATTCAACAAAGCAGGCTGCTTAAAAATACTGTAAAAGTAAGTTTGCAAGAGAACTTTCACGATTTGGGGAAAAACATGCACACCTAAGATCTTGAACTTGATGATTTTCCAAGTGTCTTTAAAACTCATTTCTCTCTAAAGAAACAGGGATGGAAAATTATAGGTAACGCACCATGGTGTGTTTTACGTAAGAAACACTAAGAATCCCAGGCAGCCCACACAGGGAAAGGGCGCGGCTCCATGCGTTTAAAAACGGTGGACGGAGTATATTTATATATTGAAGTTGGATTAAATATCTACCTGTGTTATTGTTCTCTGCTTTAACTTTCTCCATAAGCTGACGAGTGCCGGTGCTGATGACGCGAGTAAAAGCCGTCACTTTTAGGGTCCCTTTCACTCCTCTCGTGAGCCGCCAGCAGCCTCACTGAAGGCTCGCGTGTCCTCGCTCTCTAGACCCAGCTGAAACGTGACCAAGGGCCTCCGCACCCGCGGGGCCCCCGTACCTGCAGCTTCTCCTTGTTGCTCGTGCGGATGATGGACGTCAGGATGTCGGGGAGGGCTTCCCGGGGGAGGCTGTCGAGGAGGCGCCTCAGCTTCGCCACCGCGGGGACGGACATGTCCAGCATCTCCACCAGCTGCGAGGGGAAGGGGGCGTTACTGCCGCGCGGGCCTCAGGTGTGGGCCTCAGAGGAACATGTCAAACAGAAGAAAAAGCAAAAAGGGCTCCAACGTGGATAATACTAATGTATATAAACTTGTGGTTTTATTTAGAAAAAAATTAAAATTTATTGGAAAGTTGCAATGGTACAATGAACTATATATTCTTCCCCTAAATTCACCAATTATTAACCTCTTGCCCGTTTGCTTTCACACACACACACACACACACACACACCCCATCACTGAGGAAGTGGCAGGCATCACGGCCCCTGCCCTGAAGCACAGGGTACCCTCTTACGTCACCCAGCGGGAGGCCCGGTGCGGGAGAGCCGCACAGCTGAGGCTAACCTGCTAGCAAACCAGGAGATGAAACACTGCTTCTCAGCAGGACCCTCGGCTTATGAGAACCTGAGTGCCCACTGGGAATGATTTCTATGAGAGAACGGAGTTCGGGGCGCTTTCAGTAACTGGGATCCACGGGCTGGACACAGGCTGCGCCCCCGTCTGGACGTGGCCGGGCTGCTTCCCAGCTCCTCTCACACAGACGTGGCTGTGAGCCCTGAGACACGAGGGCGTGCCAGCTGCTCTGGTGGGAGCGCTCAGAGCCGCGAGGGGGCCGCCGTCTCCTGCTCCGGACGTGGCGGGCCTGTCCTGAGCCCACCTCCAACCCGCGGGCCCCTCGCTCGGAACCGCCACCGCGGGCTCATCCGCCTCCTCCACGGTGACAAGCGTGACTTACATACCTTGGTGCCCAGACAGTCTAGTGACAAGGGCAGTGCTTTTAAGTTTTAAAACTATTCGTGTTTAGTAACTGTCTGGTTTGGAGACACCAGAAGTTATAAGAAAAATTCTAGAAGTACTTTCTGGAAACATGTTAGAAAGGGTTGGCTAATGTGTCCTAGAAATATTGAGGCACAACCCCAGAGACGAGCACATTGAAATGCACACGTTAGGTATATTACTGACTCACTTAGACACACGCAGCCCTAACACTGCACCGCCCAACCAGTCCGCCGCATCTCAGGGCAGCGACGGCGCCGAAGGAAAGGTGGTGAGAAACGCGGGCGCTCACCTGCACCGCGTACTTGTAGAACTGCTCCGACAGCTCGCCCAGCTCCTCCCGGGTCTGCAGGGCGCCGGGGAACTCCTCCAGCCGGTCCAGCTGCTCCACCTGGGCCACGGGGTACGGCTTCTCCTTCAGCACCTGCACGATCTGGAAGCGGCACAGGCCCGTGACCAGCAGGGTGTAGTGCGGCTTCGGCCAGTTGCTGCCCACGACCTGCACGGCCAGCGCCGCCGTCCCGATCCTGCAACACACACCACACGTCCCTTACACACCTCCCGCCGGTGGCCCGCAGAGGAGGGCACGCGGGGAGCCGGGACCCGGTCTGTGACGCTGGGACCGGCGCTACAGGCACAAGTAGTTGACAACTACGTAGTGTCAGCTCATTTCCCCCGCGTGGCAGGAGGCAGGCTTGCAGCGGAATATTCGCATTTCAAAAGGATTTACATGGAAACAGCAGGCGTGAGCCTGCTCCGAAGCGGGGCCCGGCACAGCTTTCTGCCAACACCGAGCCTCCCGCAGTCTGCGAGCTTCCGCACCCACCTCCACACCAGGCATCGGACGGGGCTCACTGCTCTCGGATCCAGAGCCTCCAAACGCGGGGTGAGTGGCACAGGCCACACTGTGTGGGACTGAGGACAGTTCCAGACCCACAGACCCTGCCAGAAGGTGGAGACTAACTAGCGGCTGGTCACCCCCCTAATGACAGCTGAAGAGCTGGGTTTCACTGAAGCCTGAGCTCCTCATCCAAACACACAGTGCAGACCGAGCAGCATCCGAGCGTCATTCAGAGAGGAAGCGGCACCCAGATGAAGCCCACGGTACACTACACGGAAGGGCCAACACGTTACACTACATGGAAGGGCCAACACGTTACATTACACGGAAGGGCCAACACGTTACATTACACAGAAGGGCCAACACGTTACATTACACGGAAGGGCCAACATGTTACACTACACGGAAGGGTCAACACGTTACACTACACGGAAGGGCCAACACGTTACATTACACGGAAGGGCCAACACGTTACACTACACGGAAAGGTCAACATTCCAGGGACACTTCCAGGTCCCAAGGGAACTGCCCTTCTCTCTTTGGCCAGGGGAGAGGCTATGCCTTCAGGAAAGAAGGGAAGAGACTAGGGCTCCCGACGCCTGGGAAACAGCAGCACAAGAGCCTGCCCTTGCCCCTCACACAGCGCAGCACAGACAGTACAGATGGCAGCACAGACACAACAGACAGTACAGACAGCACACAGGGCAGCACAGACATCACACAGACAGTACACAGCGCAGCACAGACAGTACAGACAGTACAGACAGTACAGACAGTACACAGGGCAGCACAGACAGTACAGATGGCAGCATAGACAGTACACAGACAGCACAGACAGCACACAGACAGTACAGATGGCAGCACAGACAGTACAGATGGCAGCATAGACAGTACACAGACAGCACACAGACAGTACACAGACAGCACAGACAGCACACAGGCAGTACACAGCGCAGCACAGACAGCACACAGACAGTACAGACAGCACACAGACAGCACACAGCAAGGATAGAACACAGCACACAGACAGCACACAGACAGTACACAGACAGCACACAGACAGCACGGACAGCACACAGATAGCACACAGACAGCACAGACAGTACACAGACAGCACACAGACAGCACGGACAGCACACAGATAGCACACAGACAGCACAGACAGTACACAGACAGCACACAGACAGCACGGACAGCACACAGATAGCACACAGACAGCACAGACAGTACACAGACAGCACACAGACAGCACGGACAGCACACAGATAGCACACAGACAGCACAGACAGTACACAGACAGCACACAGACAGCACAGACAGCACACAGACAGCACAGACAGCACACAGACAGCACAGACAGCACACAGACAGCACAGACAGCACACAGACAGCACAGACAGCACACAGACAGCACAGACAGCACACAGACAGCACAGACAGCACACAGACAGCACAGACAGCACACAGACAGCACAGACAGCACACAGACAGCACAGACAGCACACAGACAGCACAGACAGCACACAGACAGCACAGACAGCACACAGACAGCACAGACAGCACACAGACAGCACAGACAGCACACAGACAGCACAGACAGCACACAGACAGCACAGACAGCACACAGACAGCACAGACAGCACACAGACAGCACAGACAGCACACAGACAGCACAGACAGCACACAGACAGCACAGACAGCACACAGACAGCACAGACAGCACACAGACAGCACAGACAGCACACAGACAGCACAGACAGCACACAGACAGCACAGACAGCACACAGACAGCACAGACAGCACACAGACAGCACAGACAGCACACAGACAGCACAGACAGCACACAGACAGCACAGACAGCACACAGACAGCACAGACAGCACACAGACAGCACAGACAGCACACAGACAGCACAGACAGCACACAGACAGCACAGACAGCACACAGACAGCACACAGACAGCACAGACAGCACACAGCAAGCGATCGTCTCAGGACCCTGCCGCCTCTGCATGTGGCTCACTGGAGGGCTGCTCACAGGTCCCTCCTGCAGGCTCGTGTGACCCCGGCTTCCGTCCACTCAGTGTGTTCTGAGCTGTACGCCTTCCCCACCACCGTTCCGCCCTGACCTGTGCTCAGGGGTAACACCTGATGTGAGCAATAACTTGAACGTGAGGGGGTGCGGCAGCCACCGGCTGCTCCCCTTCCCGCCTCAGAGGCAGGTCTGCTGCCCTCGGGCCGCGGGACAGGGAGCAGCCCTAGAGGCCTGAGCGGCCCCGGCCTCCCCGGGCCGGACGAGCTCATGATTCCGGCCACAGGAACAGCGGGAGCGGAGACCACATCCCTGGCCCCAGGGTTTCCACGCTGGAACGGGGAGAGGGAGGCGGTAGGTGTATTTGTCTGGGCTGCGTCACCGTCACAGGTGAGGCCAACGAGTCTTCTCGCAAAGCAAACACAGTACCTCCGCCAACTGGAGAGGAGGCGTCCGAGCGAAGGCGGTGAGCATGGGCCTCGCCCCCGGAAAAGACAAACCTGCCAAGGTTTACGAGGCGTCACGGCTCTTCCTCTGAACCCCTTACCATTGACTCAATGGCACCCCTTAAAGGAAAACGGCCTGGGAAGGGGCAGGTGGCCAGAAAGCCACCTGGGGGAAGACACTTGAGAGTCACACACGTGTTTCGGTTTCCCGTGCGTCCGAGCGTCATGCTCACACTCTGCCGTCCTCTAGTAAGCAGCGTAGCATTAGGTCTTAAAAAACAAGGCAGATACCTCCGTTAGAAAACACTTTCCTGATAACAAATGCGAGCCATCTCCTGAGCCTCGGGGCAGCCGCCACCTTTCTGCTGGAGGAGGGTCTTGCCGCCACGCTGCCTCTCAAAGCTGCAGCCCGTCTTCTCAGACCCCACCGCGGCTTCAACTGCTTCTGGAACATTCTAAATCCTGTCGTCATCTCCACCATCTTCCCAGCATCTTCCCTGGGAACAGACTCCATCTCAAGACGCCACTCTCTTTGCTCGTCCGCAGAAGCAAATCCTCAGCGGTCCCAGTCTGATCAGGAGACGGCAGCAGCTCGGTCCCCAATTCGGGCTCCACGCGGAACTCTAGTCCTCGCGCTTCCTCCACGGAGGCCCTCAAGGTCACCCACGAGGGTGGGACTCGCCGTCTCCCAAACTCCCACTGATGCTGACATTGTGGCCTCTTCCCAGGAGGGTTCCTCGTGGCATCAGGCTGGGAATCCTCTCCCGAAGGTTTTCAATGCACGTTGCCCAGATCCATCAGAGGAGCCACATCTACACAAGGTGTTTCCTGAACAGTGAGACGTAAAGGCCGACATGCCCCCTCGGCCCCGGGCTGCAGATGGGTGCGGGTCAGCGGCACGAAGGGTTTGCTAACCGTGCCCCTGTCAGCCCCCTGGGTGCCGAGGTGCACTGTCCATGAGGTCACAGGTGCCCGCAGCGTGCTTAAAGGATGCGCGAACCCCGGTGGCACCCAGGGGTGCTGTCGTCCGCGCTGAGGCCGCATTCCCAGGGCACGGGCGGAGGGGGTCCACCATGAGTCTCAGGGGCCCTGGGGACCTTGGAACGGTAGGTAGATGCACACTGGCTTCAACTTCAAAGTCACCAGCGGCGTGAGCCCCCGAGAGAGGCAGCCTGTCCTTGCGCACGGAGGCCTGGCACTGCCTCCTCCCCTCTGGCAGGGAGTCCTGGCTGGCATCGTCTTCCAACAGAAGGCTGTGTCTCCACGGACGACCTGCTGTGGACACAGCCACCCGCGGGGTCACCGCAGCCAGGGCTCCTGAGTCACTGTCGCCTCCGGCACCTTCATGACGGAGACGGCTTCTCCCTGAACCCGCAGGAGCCCACCTCCGCCAGCCGCCTCTCTCCCAGCCCGCACGGAACGGAAGGAGTGGGGGCCTCGCTCACGTTTAGGCTCTGGGTTCGGGGAAGGCGGTGGCTGGTGTGAGCCTCCATCCGCCCCCTAAGACTTTCTCCGTCCCAGCAGGAGGGCTGTTTCCCTTCTTACCGTCCGTGTGTTCACTGGGGTGGCACTTTTAATAGAAACGAACAGGAGCAGCACAGACAGCGTGGACCCCGATTATAAAACTGTGCACGCGCCCCTTTCTCCACGAACATTCACTTTCTGTTGACAAATGCCACTGTGTTCTGTTTTGTTAGACAAATGCCAACGAAACGCATGTGGAGCCTGGGAGATGAAGCAGCGCCACACGATAAGGGGGGACCAGCAGGAGCCCACATGGCCCACAGGTGTGAGCGAGACACCAGCAGGAGCCCACGTGGCCCCCAGGTGTGAGCGAGACACCAGCAGGAGCCCATGTGGCGGACAGGTGGGCTGTCGCCGGGCTGAGGCCGCATTCAGAGCCATGGCCTGACGGGGGTGAGGGGAGAAGCGCCTGGGTGCATGGAAGGACAGGGCCCAGGAAGGGCTGAGTCAGTACCATTGCCACTCGGAGAACCAGGCGTCCCTCAGGAGCCACTACCTGTGCGGTCCGGGTAAGCAGGTGTCCTGAGCTGGCTGGGGGCCAGGATCTACCCCAAGTTCTACCTACGGGGAGAGCCCCTAGGGCCAGGCTTGTGCAGCCACATGCAAAAGAGGGGGTGGTGCAGGAAGTCAACGCCTGGCCCTGCTCCCGTGGTGCGAGGAGCCCGGGGACAAACCGACTTCGGCT